CGTCATCGTCGTCGTCGTCGTCGTCGTCGTTAGGTTAATTGCCAAGACGAACTCATATTCACTTGATAGTCGTCGTCGTCGTCGTCGTTAGGTTAATTGCCAAGATGAACTCATATTCACTTGATAGTCGTCGCGTCGTCGTCGTTAGGTTAAATCTATCGTCGTCGTCGTCATCGTCGTCATTAGGTTAAATCTATCGTCGTCGTCGTCGCCGTCGTTAGGTTAATTGCCAAAACGAACTCATATTCACTGGATAAATTAAATCTGACGTCAATTGGGTTCACTTTGTTATAATGCCAGAGCAATGAAATGGCATCTGAAGGCTTCACGCTTGTTGTGGTTGTCACACGCTGGATCCTGCGTCTGCAAAGAAACAGGTAATTGAGCAGCAGTTGCCATCTTCATTTGTATGGCGACAAGGCTAATTCTTCGTCTTTCTCTTGAAAGACTTGTATAAAAACTATCAAAAGTTTTAATATTCCATCATAGATTCCCTTCATTCCCTCCTATAAATAGAGTTATGAACAGAAATATATATAATAAAAATATAAATTTTTTCTTTCTTTTTTAATTCTCACATAGACGTGAATGGTGTGAAAACTAAAGAGAAATAGAACCATCAACCGTTAAATGTAGGAGTCATCATCATCTTCTGCCAACGCTGAGGTGACACAACATTAAATGTCCACATCAAAGAAATGGCTCTCTCCGATTTTTCTTTTTCTTTTTTTTTTTCTGTCGAGAATTCACCAAAGAAATGGCCCTCTCGGATTTTTCTTTTTCTTTTTTTGTTCTGTCGAGAAACACTAATATATCCACATTAATTTTTAATACAGCAACGTACAAACAACCACAACTATCCAATTGGTGCTCCCTCCATCTTTTCTTTACTTTTTCTTTTGACTCTGAAACTATGTCTTAGTCTAAGAACATCGGACAAGGAACGTAGAAGATTGCTAGCTGGCAACGTGCATAACACAGTATAGAATTAACCACGCACCCACTCCGCCCCCATTGCTAACATCGCAACTGTTACATGGAAAGAAAATGAACGGCGAGTAATGCTCATTAAATCCAATATAAAGACATTTTCATGGGCGAGTATCGCCTATAAAAGTTATCATGCTGGTCATGTCGCCCTAGTGCGGTCTCCATCAATCTCGTCACGCTTGTTCATGTTGGTCTAGTGAGTTCTTTATCATTCTTCGTTAGTCTTCGTCATGTTTGATTATGTTAGCCTAGTATGTTCTCCACCACACTTGATCGTGTCGACTTACTATGTTTTCCATCATTCTTCGTTAATTTTCATCATACCTAATCATGTTAACTTAATGCATTCTTCATCAATCTCTACCACGCTTTGCCATGTCTATCTTGTAAGTATAAAATATTATTATTATAAAAAAAACTTTAATCCCAAAATCTGAAATTAAATAACAATAAATTTCTAAATTTACGATGTGTACCTTTGAATGCTGTTCAAAAAATTTTTATCCGATTAGTAAGCGGACCATTATCGAATCTAAAAATTATAACGATGTCAATTTATAAGGAAAATTAGATTTTTTTTCTTTTTTTTCTTTTTATCCTTCATATGACGACTATGATTGATAGATTTAAGGATAAGAATATATGAGAAAAGATATATAATTTCTCAATAATTTTATATATTTACATATCCATGTATGTGTATCTATATATTATGTATATAATTCCTATGAGGTCTTATCTATTTATAGGTGAGAAATTAAGAGAGTCCCTCTTATCAATGTCATCTCATAAGGAATTCTATCATAATTGAAGTTCCTTTTTATTGATTGATAATCATAATTAGAATCTAATCATATCTATAATATATTCTACCTAATTAGATAGGGTTATATAATCTAACATTCTCTACTTTACCCAATAAGATACAAAATGTTCAAAATAAAAAATAAATAAAATAAAATTTATTTTACCTAATTGGATTCTGAATTTTAAACATAATTTATACACATAAATTTAAAAAAATAAATATAAAAATAATAATAATATATTAAGTCTGATTAGCAATACGAATCATAGCAATTATATATTATCAATATCATGCTTCTACCATAATAATATTAATTCTTTCAATATAATTTAAAATAATCTTTATAATTTATTTTATCAAGATAATTCTATCATTATATTTAATTATAATATATACATAAATATAAAAATAAAAAATAAAAAATATGATTAAGCAACAGCCATCTTAATTCGTATGTTGGCAAGACTAATTCTTTTCGTTGAAAGATTTGTATGCCGAGGATGTGGTCAAGTCTGTGAAACCTAAATAGAATCTCTTCTGGACAGGCGCACAAACCAATCATCCAACAGTGAGGTGACATAACATTAAATGTCCACAGCAAAACGAAGACTTAAACTGATGATCACAGGCACTAACAGGAGACCGGATCACCAAAGAAATGGCTATTTTCGATCACTCGTCTTTTTTCCTTCGAGATACACAAATATTTCCACATTGTACAACCACAATTATTGTCTTTTCTATTGACTCTATAAACTAAGTCTATACAACCACAATTATTCGATTGGTGTTTCATCTTTTTTTGTCCTTTTCTATTGACTCTGTGAAAGTAAGTCTCACTCTAAGAACATTGGATAAGGACAGTAAAAGCCTACTAGGCAACGTGCATAACACGACATGAATTCACCACAACACACTCTCTCCGCTCCATTGCTACTATAGCAACTGTTGGATGTAAATGTATAAGACATTCTTTTCACAGGGGAGTATCGCCTATAAAAGTTCCATCATCTCTTTGCCCAAAGCCCATAGCAAAAAGTTTTGCAATCCTTTCTTAAGCTATATTACGATCATGACATGTCAACTACGCAGAAGTTCTCTCTCCACCACACTACTCCTACTAGTATTTCTCTCTCCTTTTGTTGTTCTTGTAAGAGCAGCTTCAGTGCTGGGGTCCCAAGGGAGAGCTCTACTCCATTGGAAGGCCACCCTCCGAAGTCCGCAGTTGCTCGCGTCCTGGAACGTCGGCTCCAGTCCATGCAATTGGACGGGGGTTGCATGCAACATCGCACGCAATGGGCGCTTGGTCGTCTACGAGATACAGCTGCCAAATTTGAGCTTAGCAGGGCCACTTGATGCTCTTAATTTCTCGGCGTTCCGATCGCTTGCCAATCTCAACCTCAGCTACAACCAGCTGAACGGGAACATTCCCCCTACCATTTCGGCGCTCTCCAACCTCGTATCTCTTGATCTGACTGCCAACAGGTTCACTGGAAGAATTCCTGTCGATATTGGTTCCATGAAGGCGCTTCAGTTCCTAAATATTAGCCAGAATCAGATAAGTGGCCCTATACCTCCGTCTCTGAGCAACCTTAGTAGGCTTACAGAAATGCAACTAGAAGATAATAAGATTACGGGTGTCATCCCTGAGGAGTTGGGGAGACTTGCAAAGTTGATCTACCTTGAACTCGGGGCAAACCAACTTACAGGTTCTATTCCTCCCAGTTTAGGAAACATGACAAAGCTCTATCACTTGGCTCTCTATGGAAATCAGCTAACGGGATTCATTCCTAGAGAACTAGGAAACCTAATAAATCTGGCGCACTTGTCGCTCTCTAATAATAGCCTAACAGGTCGCATCCCTTCATCGGTGGGAAATCAGAGCAAGTTGGAGATACTTTACCTTTGGATGAATGAATTGTCAGGTTCTATGCCTCCAGAAATTGGAAAGCTGCACCAACTCACTACCTTGGCTCTCCAATTTAACCAGCTCTCGGGGCAAATCCCACCATTACTAGGTATCTTAAGGAACCTCATCGATCTACGCTTATCTTATAACCATTTGTCTGGTTCTTTGCCTCCGGAGATGAACAACATTACAGGTCTGGCTACTCTTCTATTGAAAGATACTGACTTTTTCTGGTTATTTGCCTCCAGAGACATGCAAAGGAGGAGCCCTACGGATCCTAATGCTGAGCAACAACAGCTTCCAAGGTCCCATTCCCGCGACATTGAAGAATTGTACGAGCCTATATACTGTTCATCTTGAGCATAATCAACTGAACGGGGATGTATCCAAACAGCTTGGGGTATATCCCAATCTTAAGTATTTGGATTTAAGCTTCAATAAATTGTCGGGTACAATCTCATCAGACTGGGGAAGATGGCACAATCTGACGTTCCTAGGAATCTCAAATAACAATATCACCGGAGTTGTACCATCAGAACTTGGACAGCTATCAAAGCTGGAAGAACTGGACCTTTCTTCAAACTACTTCCAAGGAGAGATCCCGAGGAGCTTGGGCAACCTGGCTCATCTTTATAACTTCAACCTGAGCAACAATCAACTTATTGGAGAGATACCAGCAGAGCTGGGAAGGATGTCCGACCTTGAACTTCTTGATCTGTCGAGAAACGGCTTGATAGGTAGGATACCATATCAGATAGGAAATTGCATGAAACTCCATTTGCTGAAGCTTAACAACAACAACCTCAGTGGAAGCATTCCTTTTGAGATGGGCAATCTGGTGTACCTTCAAGACGCACTCGACATCAGCCATAACTCTTTGACAGGGGAGATACCAACGCAATTCGGTAAATTGTTCATGTTGCAAAATTTGAATCTATCACACAATGGCTTGACGGGTAATCTTCCATCAACTTTTAGGGATATGCGTAGCATGTTCATCATCGATGTCTCATACAATGAATTGGAGGGTCCAGTTCCCGATAACAAGCATTTCCAGGAAGCTCCAGTAGAGTGGTTTGTCCACAACAAAGGTTTGTGTGGAGTTGTCAAAGGTTTGCCTCTATGTGCTTCATCTACTGCAAATGAACACCACGGAAGTAAGCACCACACAGTCATTATCTTATCTATTGTTGCATCTATGGTCGTCTTACTTCTCTTGCTTGTGCTCGTCGGAATTGCTTTGCGATTCCAGAAGACGAAGAAACACACAGTGCAAGCTGTCAAGAATCCCATCAAACAGGGTACATTCTCTGTATTGAATTTTGATGGAAAAGTTGCATACAAGGATATCATCGAAGCAACAGAAGATTTCGATGAGAAGTACTTGATCGGAACCGGTGCATATGGCAGTGTTTATAGAGCAGAATTATCAAGTGGAGAGGTGCTCGCAGTCAAGAAAATTCACCTGTCCGAACACGAGAACACGGTGGACGAGCAACCCTTTCAGAATGAGATAGAAACTCTTACTCGAATCCGACATCGCAATATTGTCAAACTTTACGGATTCTGCACCTCTCCTCACCACAAGTTTCTCGTGTACGAGTACGTGGAGAGAGGAAGTTTGGGATCCGTCCTCAGAATCGAAGCAGCAGCAGCAGAATTGGACTGGGTGAAGAGGGTGAACATTGTCAAAGATGTGGCTCGTGCTCTCTCCTACATGCATCATGATTGTGTTCCACCTATCGTTCATCGAGATGTAACCAGCAACAATATTCTACTGGATTCAGAATTCAAGGCTTGTGTTTCTGACTTCGGCATTGCTCGACTCCTGAATCCAGATACCTCAAACTGGAGCATGCTTGCCGGCACGCATGGTTACTTGGCACCAGGTAACATTTTGATTAATATTTTGTAACT